GAGAGAGCTCGTATTTGGATAATAATTTGCACTCAGTATATCAATACAAACGTGGGTCGTCCGCAAAATATTATTATCATTCAACAGTTTCATCTGTTTATTGAACGATTTCTAGATTTGATTTTTTCGTAATACACAAATATTTGTGTAAGCTGTGGACATGTCATATTTCATATTTCACAATTAGTAAATTTCATATCGTAATTATAAATTGAACTTCAAGTTGGGAATGACACTGTATATTATTTCGAGAACTGGAAAATTCAAGTTGCTGAATGTCGAAGTTACTGTTGACAAATTTTATGGAATTGACTCAAAATCATTATATCAATAGGGGACCCCACGCTGGGATTTCGGGATTTACTAAAATGCGGCAGATTCATATACATGGGATACCTTGTACCCTTTTGAGTACCTCCACCAAATATGAGCCCCATATATAAGGCCGCCTGTGAGGGATAAAGGATCAGATTAGTAAAAAAAAATTGATCATCAGAAATTCTCGAGCTCGTCAGATTAGTATAGGGTGAGTTAGTTACATGCTGAAAAGTGTATATTCCAGTAATCTGATTGAGAGTGACGTAAAGAAAGGGAAGGAAAGCAAAGTTGTAAAAAATAACGTCATTTCGACATTCTCGAGCGTAGCTAATTTTTTTTATTTTTAAGGAAATAATTCAAGGATAACGAAAAATATATAATCTGACGATTTCCGCAAGCCGAAATAATAAAAATTCGTCGATAAAGTTTATTTCGTGCAGCTGTATGATACCTATATTTTCCTCTCCGAGTTTCTATTCCTCTTTCATTTTTTTTCTATCTATTACTCTCTCTCTCTCCGTCCCCACTCTGAATTCTGTTGCCATGACGCCATCACAGCTGATCATCACTCGTTCGTGATGAAGATGATGATTAATTTAATCAATTGATTATAAAAAAAAATTATTTTTTTTCAGCATTTAAAAAAAATATTTTCTTATAAATACAAGTATTCTACTTAAATAACATACACTTATTTATTTGCATGCTACTTCCTGAGCTTTTCAATTATTCAAGTTCAATGACTTGAAAAAAAATATTTTTTTTGTTAGATTAGGCGAATCCCTCTAGATAATCGTCAGATTATAAGAGAGCACGTCTAGAACATAAATATGAACCATATATATCTTAATCTGACGCGTTTGAGTATTTCAAAATGGCGATTTTTTTTGGACATTATAATAATGGCCGCGAGTTTGCGTCAGATCGAAATCGTCAGATTATTGAATGAGAGCTTTTTTCTTGTTGCACTTAATACCCCCTTAGAAAATCTGACGCACTCGATTAAATTTTTTTTCTTTTCACTTCCAACCCTTACGTACAACCACCCGCATCATGCAAACGATCAGATTAACTGATATATCTGACACGCTCGAGTATGTCCATGCAACAGTATTTTTTACATATTTAAAAATCTATAGCCGCTTCCCCAACCGATGAAAAGTTATATATTATATAAAATTTTTTTCATCATCTAAGCTTTGCAACCTAATATGTCTCTATGACGCTCGGGTAAATCCCCAATTTGCATCGTGGGCTCCCCTACCATATGGAGTTGTTCGGTGCAGTAGCAACATCGTTTCGTTTTCGTCACTTATTTCAGATGCACGAATTGATGATGTATGTAAGTTTATTCATTGTCGACGCAACTGTATATGTGCCATATTTGTATCTTTCAGGTGACTCACGTTCGTTATCTGCAGAATAGAAAATGTCTTCATATGTTTTGATAGTGACTGAAAGTATACTGAAGATACACAAGTATCTTCAGTATAATTTCTATCTACGATAAGGAGGGCCAGTAAAGGAAGATTGGAAACCTGCGAAAGAGATAGTTGAATTATGAAAAAGTTGTCAATGTTAAAGCTCATTTGACAGACGTTTTCAAATTTAGGAAATCCCAATTTGTTAAGGATATTCTAAAATAACGAAAGTTCGCCAATTTTACTTTATTCTTTATAGAAGTTATTTAATAATATTTCAGGAAACAAAGAACACTTTCTCATTTCCACTTTTTATCACTCCGATTCTTGGTCTCCTGCAAAACATCACCGATTAAAATTTTTTATATGGACCGGAAGAAAGAATTACCAGTTATAAGTTAGCCTTTTGACGTTTGGCAACGTTTTTCTAATTTAACCGACTTTGTATCCCTTACGATTTTCGATTTTCCCATGCTGGCCCTATTATTTCTGAAAAAGTAATTTTCGTTCAGGTAATATTTTAGAAATATTCATATGACTCATATGTGCTGGCCAAAAAGCGAAATATTGAGGCAGGACTAGACAGATGGACTTCAGAAGATAAAATCATTGCAATAATCTATTCAAATAGTTCCTATTTTGAACATTGACCAGTACCTGGTCAGCATATAGAAATTCAAAATGAAAATGTTTTCAATATCATTTTGCCAAAATATATACGGCTGAAGTCTGGCATAAATATTTTTGTGACAAATTGTTTTTTGAGAGATATTGCTAATGTTACACTTGAGAACAAAATGTATCGTTGTAATTGACTTCCTTAACGAATCCCAAAAGGGTTAATATCAGTGATTTTTCCTTCGAGAAGTTTTACGAACTTCAAAATTCAATATCGCTTTTTGTATCATTCTTCGCCATAATTGCGCCTCAGTGTGTCATTTTAGAAGCCTGTTTTTGACAAATGATCTTGAAAATTTTCATGATACATTTGCCACTAACATATTCTTGAAGCTGGCATAAAATACCCAATTGAAAAAATGTCTCAGTTCAATCAGAAGCCTAGATAATTTTTTTGAAAAATTTTACGTATCACTATTGTAAATTTTCAATTCCTTTCATTATTTCAATTTTGGATTGAGATTAAAAATGGCCATCGTATAAATTTTCACAAATCCTGAAATTTTGGTAACGCCGTCTACAAAATGGCCGAAACAACATTATAATAACCGTTTTTCCCGTTATATTCGAACATATTTTCCATGAACAATGGTTCCGGTGTTCAAAATGGAAACTATTAAAACACGGTTTTGTGATGATTTCATCAATCAAACTCCATAAGTTGAATATTGCTATAGTTATAGAAAAAATCAGCCCCTTTTTGGATGGCTCACTTGGTTTCATAGAAAATTTATATTCGATAATTTGTCTTATAGAAATTCTCACTTGGTAAAATCATATAGAAAGTCATTCATATTATATTATATACTCATCATAGGATATTTTTCCTTTCTCAAATAATGAATGTGGATCTCGCAACGCATGAATTGTATCTACATGTGAATTTTCGATTGTATCTGACTACAATTTTTTTGTCGGTATTCACTCACGTCACTAGAAGAAGATCACTCTGAGCCAACGTAATTTTCATAAGTCCTTGTGAGTTTTGTTTTCATCATATGTGAAATACTTGTAGAGTTTTGGAAGTATGAAAAAGCTCTTTGAAGGGACTGATGAAAATTTTATGGAAAAATATATTTTCAAAGATTTTGTTTGTGCATCATCTAACCGATTCTAACCCAAGCGAACTAATGAACTAATATCACTAAACTAATAACGAACAAGTAACAATTAAAATTTTTGTGAATAATCAGTGCTGTTGGGCAAAATTATACAGTATTGTCGTCGTATTTACTCTTCAATGATTAGATTATACAGGACTATTCAAAAATGTCATTTACAAATAGTGCAAAAAAAGAGAAGTGGACCCATCACATACCCTTGTGGTGCGTTTATGTCTTCAGAGTACTGTATTTTCTTTCCATTTTGCCACACGCTTTTCTTTCGATTATGTTGGATTTGATTACGTCAAAAAATTTGCAATTTGGATGCATAATTGATGCAATTCATTAGGTCAATTGGTATTTCCGAAATCTCATTGATTGTACATTCTTGATTGTACATCTTGGGAAATATTGAAGAAAAATAATTTTTTGTAGAGAAAATCAGATTTTAGATTATGAAGGTGAAAATACCCAAAAAATGTCGATAAAAACTTTGGTGAAAATATTCTCCACCTGCTACAGCAGACATAATATCATGTAGGTACTCTGATGAATTTATATTTCTGATATATTAGGCATTGCTCGAAAAACATTATCATTATAAATTTGTTTCGAAAATGAATATCGTGGTACGATTTTTATTTACGTTCCAAAATCAAAATCACTCTTAATGAAAATCATCAAATCCAGATGAACATTTTGCTAGAATTTGTTTTGTATTTTAATTTTTTTAATTAGCGATATGTAGCCCTGTTAACGCAAGTTGTGTTTCTTAAAACTAATATTTTTTATGGGAGTTATTTCAGTGTTTCATGAATCATTAAACCTGAAGTTTTTCGAAATTTATACAAATTGAATTTTTCATTATGGTGAAGGCACCAATAACTTTTCCGGTAGAACTGTTTGCCTAACAACTGTTTATCCATCCGTAAAGTAATGAGTACCCTTAAGTCAAACTCAACCCCTTATGATACTGTCATCAAAGGTTCTTTGAATAATGAAATGAAAATATTTGACGAAAAACAGAGTATATAATTTTTTTACGATTAAAAACAACATATTTTTCCAAAGATTAAGAGATTTTATGTTGATTCTTGACTGAAGTTTCGATATAAGCAGTTGACATTTATGAAAAAAATGAAGTATATCAGGAGAAAGCATGTTTTGGAGTTTTAGATGTGTCGTTGAAAATATTTTTCTCATTTACCTACTGTTATATGTTGTGTTCAGAAATGATGTATGAGACATTGTTGTGAATATTCATTAATAATATTTGTATTCTCATAAAAGTTGGAAAGTATCGGAATGAAAATTGACTCTCCCAATAAAGTTTCCATCAGTTCCAAACAGTTTTCCATACTCTGAAATCTAGTTCACTTTAGTTTAGTTCTAGCGCATAGCACTCCACTTGCTTTCTAATCAATCTTTCGAAGTTGCATTCACCAAGCAAATCTTTCACCTAATACTTATTCCAAACTGCACTTCTAACGGTTTCCTCTTTATCCTAGGCGTATCACAGCAAGAAGACCATTGTGAATCCTTTAGTAGAGGGCAGCATCGCCAAGCTATGAAAAGGACCTACAGATATCATACAGCGGGGGTTGTGGATGACATAAAGGTAATTCTAATTTCCTGAAAATACTCGCCAGTTATTTTTCTGATTCGTGTTTCAAACCAAAAAGAGCGAAGACGAAACTGATTGCTTCACACCAATAATTAACGTTGTGTTTCAAAATCATGAACCCACAACAACTTTAGTTCAACAAATCTTGAAAAACAATTTTGCATATCACCGGTTAACTCAACTGAATTTCATCTAGAATCTAGATATTTACCAGGGCCCTAGTCGAAGTTAGGTGGAGTCATATTTAACAAGCCGAACTCACACAGTTTTGCTAGTCGAATCCCTTTTCAAACTGAAAACAATGTGAGAAATTTATATATATATAATCAGTTATTCCTGCTAGGTGTCTACCGGTATCACTTCTCACTCAGCAAACAGCACGGAGCACTATTATTGTTTATCCATCGAGCGTAGATGCAGTTTGCGATGCCAACGAAGCTTTGAATTATCCAACAGAGTGTTTGAACTCATTAGATTTTCTAGGCAGGACCGCATAATTTACAACTGAAGGTTGGATCGCTCCGTAATTTGATTCCATCACGGCTGTACAACGGCACGCGATTAGTAATTAATGAAAATCGTTGTCGAAGCTAGCATTTTCAATGGCAAGTTTCGTGGTGAAAATATAATAATACCAAGAATTCCCATTATACCTACAGATGTGCCAATTCATTTCAAACATGTGCAATTTTCAATTAAATTGGCATTTACAATGACTAATAATAAGTCCCAAGGCCAAACAATATCCGTTTGTGGCTTGGATTTGACCATACAAATTGAATAGGATTTCCTGATACCTTCCGTTCTGAGTCCTGTGAAATTATAGGGGTTCCTCAGGAGCCTTCTTTCTTCCTTCTTTTCGTCATCTCCAATAGGATCCACACAATTGAACAGTGCAGTGTGTCAAAGATAATTCCTTTGCACTCATTTCTTAGGATTCTAAAGGTTTGTTGTCACAAGCCAAAAGGTAGCAGTTACCAAAGTTGGTGCTGCTCTAGAAATTGTAAAATTCTGAGCAAGACAATAACGAATGCTGTTGTATTTTCTGTTGAAGATGTGGATTGTAGTATTTAGGTGAAATCAAATGAACAAATGAAATATGGTTGATTTTTGGAACAACCATATTGATTGTTTTTGTATGAACTGTGTTTTATTATCTGGGATCTGGGTAATATAAATAATATCAAAATATATACCTATTATGGTAATTCGTGTGGACTGTGAAGAGTGTTATTCAAATAGTTCGTTATTTCAGTTGTCATATTCCTTTATATATTTTCACTTCTATTGTGTAGGTATATTGTAAAAAAAAACACTAACATATTTCAGGACCTATGACAAAATCATAATTTCCTGATATCTCTAAATCAAGCTAGAAGTGATATGCAATTGTTATCAAATTATACCCAATGAATTGGGTAACAAACTCCAGCTTTCCATAAAAAAATAACCACTTTTATAGAGTATCCATTGATATCTTCACGTAATGTGAAACATCTACTCATTGTGAGTTTGTATAATTCTTAACTAATTGTGATTTTTACCCTAATATATTTTATTGATTGATGAAGAACTTTCCATTTGGACAACCAACAATCTACAGGATTATAACCACACCATTTAAGAGAAGGTTTTTTTGACTAATTTCAATAACTCATGAAAATAAATTCATCAACTACCTTTTTACAAGTATCAGAACTGATAGCTTTGAATGGAAATGAGGAAGAAACAGAAATTTTTCCCAAATAATACTTCTGAATCATGTTTAAATATTTTGGGATTGCTCACTAATTGTACTATTTTTCACAGAAAATCGACAATAGAGACGCCAGCATCCACAAGCGCCTATCCTGGAACTACTCTAGTCAAGAGCAAAGGCCCCCCAATGAGGACCAGACCTAGCATACAATAATGAATCCTATTGTGTCTTGTATAGTGATGTTCTACCTTATAGTTTGTACACTAGCTGAACTACAAAATATTTTAGAAAGACTCTTATAGAAAGTTTCAAAAGCAGCTTGGGTTTATTGGGATTGTATTCTTCAACAGTGGACCAAACCACAATATCATTTTTGTGTATTATTTTGCCAAAGCTATTGGCACTTTTTGACATTCCATATACATTCCATGGTAAACCCGAGCGATAACTGTACCTAATCAAATTCTATCAGGCCTAATATTCAAACGATTTTTATAAAACATTTGGATTTAGAGACTCTAGTTTGCTTTTTCATTAAATAACAGTTTGAGTGAATCCGAGAAAAACGAATTGTGTTTTTAGGTTTTTCTCCGGATCACGCGAGCTTCATTTTGGAGTGGATGACATTTTAGATGAGTAACTATTTGAAAAAAATTATGTTTATTTTAAACGATCCGTACAATGAACTTTATATTTTAGAAAACACGTTTATTTATTTCCTCGAGAATAATATATTTATTTTTAAATGTTAAACAACAGATGTACATTATTTGTTATATTTATTACTGATTAATAAATAAAGTATTGATGATGGAGGGATTGTTTATTTCTAACCCAATCATAGTCGAAATGTAACCACATTTATACTGTTTACTGTGTGGTATGAGATATTTCTCATTGAGAATTTCATTTTGTGATTTGTAAATTTCAACAAACATTTTTCGGGTTTTCCATATGGGATTGTTTTATTGCGTATTAGAATGTGGTGCCACCAACATATGTTCGGATTGAAGTCATACTGTATAGAGGCTATCATCAGCTAGTTGTCTTGCAATAGATAGATAGAGAATGAAACTTGCTGGCAATCAATGTCAAAGCTTGGCTTTGCATCTGACCGCCTTGGGGAGCCTCGTTTATCTTCAATATTCAAGGATCGAGTTCTCTGTCGATCCCTTAGATGGTGTCTTTGTAAGAGGAGATGTTATCGCCCTCACTTCCTCAGGCTTGCCCTTCAAGGACAGTTGAGTCCAGCAATGATATGTTGGTTCATCCCAACACCACTGTGATGAGACAGTATTGCCGGTTTAGTACTTTATTTGTACTATATTCGGAACATTCAAAACCTCAAAATTTTTCTAATACATCTTTCACTGTTTTTGTACTTTTTCACCTAAGTAAATAACTAGCTCATAAGTTTACTTCATCTCCTGAAAGACGCCAACTTGGTTGATGAAACGCGCGTCGAGAAGAGTATTGTAATTCTAGTGTTTTGGAACAATGTGTGTTCACTTCACTTCCAAAATAATCATTGATTTATTGACTTGTATTTATAAAAACTCAAAGAGTCTTAGATTACCGCTTGTTTCAGATAGCTTTTCAACCTAGAATCATGAATCATTTATTCAATTCATCAAAGCATGGCAGAAGGTGGCACCACTAACAAGTCGTATACATTTGTCAAAATTATGATGGGATGTAGTTATTTTTCATTTGAATTTAACAAGTTTTTAACAATTTTCAGTTACAATGGGCACACACTATGGAAATTGATAAATCACACTTCTGGTGATTTCATATAACGTAGAATTTTGACCCAGCAAAGATATTGCAGGATCATGAATAATAAAAGATATGTATTCACTCCCAATTCGCAGATACAGCACTTATGGTAATAGGTTAGACCAAAGGTGATAATTTCAGACAATTTATTTCTACTTTAACCTTGAGGAGTGGTTAATCTTCCTATTTTTTTTATAAATTCCTAGTGGAAAAAACTACATTATCTGACATAATGCATTATTCCTGAATTGAGGATTAAATGTCATTTCGTAACAATAGATCAGAAGTTGGTGGTTTGCAGTTCTGCCCACCTGATGCCTCACACCCCGTAGAAAGTGATTTATTTCATTCTTTCAAATTGAACAATTATTAAAGTGGTGCTATCTACAAAAATGACATAATGATATTACTGAAAACAGTTTCAGTAAATACTGAAAAGAAGTGAACAATAAACATTTGGGATTTTTCAATTCCTGAATTGAGGATTAAATGTCATTTCGTAACAATAGATCAGAAGTTGGTGGTTTGCAGTTCTGCCCACCTGATGCCTGAACAATTATTAAAGTGGTGCTATCTACAAAAATGACATAATGATATTACTGAAAACAGTTTCAGTAAATACTGAAAAGAAGTGAACAATAACCATTTGGGATTTTTGCTATACAATTTCCGTAAATATTGCCATGACATAAAATGGAATTTTTCACAAAAGTCAGTAGACTTCGACTAGCAGACTGAATTCGCTAACATTTGTTCAGTTTAAAAGAATAATATAAATCTCGCCCTACAGGGGTTAAGCCATGGGAGTGGGCGGGCCACATACAATTCTTGAAGCTATAATTTATACAGAACGAATTATAGATACTAAGCCATGTCTATTCAAAAATGCCAGGAAAGCTATAGATTACGCAGTAGACGACCCCCCTTATTGTAATATGGAATTTTTCACAAATCTCAGTAGGTGGCACCATTTTGAACTCGCTACGTAAATATTGAAAATAAGTAAGCCATGACATAATATGCTATATTTCACAAATCTCAGTAGGTGGCACCACTTTGAATTCGCTAACATTTGTTCATTTTGAAAGAATAATATAAATCGCGCCCTGCAGTGGTTAACAAGCCATGGGCAGGGCGGTCTACAGCCAATTCTTGTTACTATAATTTATACAGGACTACGAATAGTAGATACACCAAGCCATGTCTATTCAAAAATGAAACTCAGTGTATACATACTAAAAGAATTATGCTCATTTGCTAATCAATTTCCATAAATATTGAAAATGAGTAAGCCATGACATGATATATGGTATTTTCAACAAATGTCAGTAGGTGGCACCACTTTGAACTCGCTAACATTTGTTCAGTTTGAAAGAATAATATAAATCACGCCCTACAGGGGTTAACAAGCCATGGGGTGGGCGGGCCACAGACAATTCTTGCAACTTCAATTTATACAGAATTACGAATTATAGATACTGAGCCATGTCTATTCAAAAATGAATTTCATTGTATACATAGAAGAATTATGCTTATGAAATCCTAGACAAAATTTATAGATTACCCTTCCCTGTATGAAGAGACAGCCAAAAATGTAGTTTTCCAAGAAATATAAACACACAGTTACAATTTGTTTAAGTTTTGGGTTAGTAAGTTTTTAAGACATTGATGATGGGAGGAGGGAGTGGGGCTGCTATAGGCTCATGTCTCTTGACAATGCATATATATTTTTAATCAGGGGTTGTAGTGAGGAGTTGTAAGTGCTGCCATCTATAGAGCACAAACTGACTTCTTTATTTTCAATGTCAATAAATTTCTTTCAACATGTAAATTTAGCACTATTTGGAGGGAATAAATCTAGGAAAATGCCACTTTGAGTTATTTTCGTTTACTCAGTAACATTTTTATAAATCCTTTTAAAAAAGCTCGATGTTGTACAATTTTGGTGTGTCATAATAAAAAACTGTGGAAAGTTATCTTCAGTTCAATCATCTAAAACTCAGAAGGTCATCCTCGTTTCATTCAGGCTTGGAGTCCAGCTCACCTACCCTTTCGGCTGATTATTGGTCTCAAGAGGGACCAACGGGTTCATCATCAAAAACTTTGTGAAAAGAGGAATTTTGTTGAGTTCTGTTAAGACTAGTATCGTAAATTGTAAATGCTGCCACCTATCGGCAGATATTCGAAATAGTAACTGGTTCACATATTCTAGTCTTCTAATATAATACCCAATGTTTATATTTAATATTTAGACACACCATCTTATCTCAAAATCAGTAATTGATTTGTTTCTTACTGTTATTGGGTGTACAACCTTCCACGAACTTTAACAAAGCCAAACATATAGAGATTTTGTTAAAGTGTAATAAAGTCCACACTGCAAAGTTACTGCGCAATAGAAACCGCTGGAGAGTACGATTAGTCAGTTTTCTGTACTATTCACAAATTTTCCCAACTAGTTTGATAATCAACGGAAAAAAAAAATGAAATTTTTGTGCTCAAGTTTTTTTTAGGTAGTTGACGTTTCGAAAAATGACCCACTTTAGTTTTCAAAACCCAAAAAATATTGTTTATGAACAAGGCCTCAAATGCAAACAGCTATATTTCCTTTGACGTGTTACAAAATGTATAAATATGACAATAACTGACTAATTGGACAGTGGTATATATTACACAGTGACTTTTCAGTTTACTCTTCATTAAACTTCAGCAGATTTTCAATTGACTAACTTTGAATTATTTTACAAATTGTGAAAGGTTAAAAAACTGTGAAAAACAATGACTTGCATAAAAATGTCATTCAAAAAATAGTATTTGTTTTATTATAAGTTTGCGGAGATGCCTTAATAATGTATTTTCAATGTAGTAATTCACAAAAAAATTGGTATGATATATTTTATTTTCAAGAAATACAACAAATAACAAATAGTAACAATGAAATGGAATAAAAATTGAGGAAATTACATGAATACAGATGTTTTGAAATGCCATAATGTTGGAAGAAGGAAAAGGAATCCCAATATTGACTCCTCTAATCACTATACAATTATTTCACATTCTTCTGATATTTGTGACTGAAATCTTGAGCAATGTCGATATTCTTTCGAGGAACCATATATTCATAAAACTGAAGGATTATGAAGCTCAGAGAGACGACCAAAAGGAAGGGCCAAACATTACAGGTGAGATAGCTGGAAAAAAAATCTTTATGAGCAGAAATAAACTACAAGTAAAAATTTTGGTAGTATTGACGACTTCTGAAGAAAATATTTGAACTAATTCTTAAGGAAAGGTTACTCCAATTTTTCGAGTCAAATAGGCTACTGTGTAATGCGCAATTTGGCTATAGACCTAACCGATAGCATTTGTTTTGTTTTGTGTTTAATGACAAATGTAGACATGTTTTTATTGTATACACGAATAAATATATCTATCTATCTATATATCTATCTATCTATGTTAGTACTAGAACCCTGAAATTGACGATAATCTATCTATTCAATGATAAACAAATTGAATCAACCAAAGACAACAAAATATAAAACATCTTACGGAAACTATGTTCAAACGAACCCGTTAAATATACACTAAGTATATATTTGTACTTCGTTCACAGAGGAATCCTTGAGAAATAAAATGAAAATTATCGATAGAGTGTCCTTAGTGAGAAATTTGTCATAAATTTACGAGGTCTGTTCAAAAAATGAGGTTGATTTTAATTTTTCTAAAAAAAATTTCATTTATTCATCAATTACTATTTTGTCCCCTTCAAAGTAGTTCCGTTTGTGCCAGCCTTTTTTCCAATCCTTGAAGCAGTTCCGATATACACTTTTTGGTATGTCCTTGAGCTCCGTCAGTGATTCGGTTTTTATCTCCACATTCGTCGCAAAACACTGTCCTTGCATGGATCTCTTCAATCTTGGGAACAGGAAAAAATCGCAGAGGGCCAAATCTGGTGAATACGGTGGCTGAGGCATGACTACAGTGTTGTTCTTGGACAAAAAAGTACGAACAATCAATGACGAGTGAGCAGCGGCATTATCATGATGCAAAAGCCATTATTTGTTTTTCCACAATACCAGACGTTTTCTTCGTATTGCTTCTAGATAATATTCCTTATTGACTGTACGACCATGTGGCAAGAACTCCTGATGCACTACAGTGAGCAAAACCTTGTCATTTGATCAAACTTAGTGTGCTTTTTCAGGTTTTAACTATCCTGGGCTCTTTCATTGAAATGATTGGACTTTGGTTTCGATGTCATAACCATATACCGATGAATCACCAGTTATGACCCTTTTAAGCGAATCTGGATCGCGGTTGACGTCATTCAACAATTTCTGAGCGATGCTAAAGCGACGGCTTTTTTTGGTCATGCCTGAAATTTCTGAAAAAATTGCATGGCATCAGCCAACCGATATGCCGACATCCTCAGCAACTTCTCTAATAGTGACTCGAAGATTCTCCATAATAATTTTCTTCACTTTCTCAACATTTTCATCGGTTGTGATGTGCTGGGGCACCCATTTACATCTCCTCGACCTTCTGTGAAAAGCTTCAACCACATGCAAACATTTTTCTGACTCAGAGTACAATCACCGTAGGTCACTGTCAACATCTCCAGTATTCTTGAGGACTCATTTCAATTTTTACACAAAATTTGATGCAAATTCTTTGATCCTTTTTCTTCGATAGCAGAAATTCGCCAAAGACGCAAAAAATTTGCAACTTTTATGTCTCTCACCAACAATTTAAATATGCTGAAACTGTAAGCATATGTTCGAGACGAGGGTACCAACATAAAAAATCGCTAATTGAATGTAAGTACGTAGCCTGTGAAATTTCAACATTCACCTCATTTTTTGAACAGACCCCGTATGTTGGATGAAATTCAATATCCGCCGCGGTGTTGGTCAGAAAAATGTAACAGGCATATCCTCCTCAGCAGGAGTTTTATATTTTAAATTATACTTGAATTAATGATTTTCCTATAGTATATTTATTTCTCCCCAAAAAAGTCAAGTAGAATAATCTCCATCAAATACATTACAAATAAGTTTTGTAAATTAAGTTGTGGGGAAGTAGCTTTCAAAATGATGTCACTTTTAAAAATATTCAGTACTGCTAACAAATCTGAAGAAACAACGATTTCCATGCCATTACAAAAACACTGTCCCTCCACAGGCTCATATTCCTAATTTATACTTTTTTTTTATTGACTCAGCGGTTACTTGATGAAGATACATAGTAATTTCACAAAATACACCGAAAACGATTTGATCTTCAAACTTCTTTTTCATAAATATCATGACATGTTTCGCCATTGTCGCTATCATATATGTTATTCACTACGAAAAATCTACTATGATAGTGAAACATGTCATGATACTTTAGAAAATAAAGTTTGTTGAGATCAAATTGTTTTCGGTGTGGTTTGGGAAATTTCTAATTTATACTTTAGTGACTTCCTGTCTTGTACTTAATATTTACCTGGTTTCAATATCTTATTATTATGTAAGAGGGCGCACAACTTGCCGTTTGGAATGGTACCTTTATCGCTGTTTGTAGATCTCATTTCACAGTCTTCATTTCTAAATTATCAAAGCGAAGTTTTACGACCTGTCAAGGGCATTTGATACGATACGACATGATTTCTTGCTATTAAAATTGGAAAGATATGGGGTTAGAGGCGTGACTTTGAAGCTTTTTTCGTCATATTTGGAGGAACGAAAGTATTCTCTGAGTGTCGCCGGTCGGAGATCTGCTGAGTACCCAGTTATGTTTGGTGTCCCACAGGGCTCCGTTTTATGACCCTTGCTATTTATTATATATATCAATGATTTATGTATGAGTATTAACTCTGATGTGTCTTCCATTTATATGCAGATGACTCCACACTCGTCAAAAATTTAAATAAAAGCAGTGCTTTACAGACCCTTAATTGTCCAGAACAAAATGCTAAAGTTTGGTTTCGATGTAATTTCCTTTTCTTAAATAAAAGTAAAACGCAACATCTCAGTTTGAACCATGTGGAAAAATCTGAGGAAAGAGTTAAACTCTTGGGCCTTCATATAGACTCTCAACTAAATTTTTCATTTCACATTCAGGATCTAGCAAAACGTCTGGCCAAAGCGTCTTATGCATTGCGTCAATTGAAATATCAGCTGTCCTTTGATTATTTAAAAATAGCGTACTTTGCTATGTTCCACGGTATAATGGGGAAGTGCCACTCATGCCAATAAAATATTCATAGCACAAAAAAAAGTCATTAGAGTAATTTCTTCTAGTGAGTATGACGCTCATTGTAAGCCCCTTTTTAAAAAATTTAACATCATGCCGCTGCCTTGTTGTTATATATTGGAGTGCCTCCTTTATGTTGGGAGCAAAATTTTGGCGAATGAGGTAACCTCAAACTGCCATGTACATAGGTACAGTACCAGAGGTGGTAGTNTAGTTAAAGAAGTGGTTTACCCTTCCATAAAAAGTTATCATTTCAAAAATGATACATTTATGTTCCTGCTATGTGGTAATATGAACATATAAAATAAATAGATGACTTGTAAATTTTACTCCTTGAGATTCAAAATATCAGTTTCCTAGTTGTATTGAAAATACATCACTCACACCATGAATACTTGAATATTATATGGAGCTGGATATATGAAACCTGTTCACAAAACACTTTATTATGAGATTTTCGCTAAACAGTTTTATAAAAACCTAACACAAGCTTCACTATAAAATAGCTTATTCAGGTGTGTCTTCACTAACAAGCCCAAATAGATTTAGGTATGACATTCGCCAATACATTTTCCTTAACGACAAGAAGTTTACTTCTATAGAACGAGATAGTGCAATGATATGTCGTTACCGCAAGTGTTCTCAAGCCAGCTCAATAAACTGACCAGTAATTTTGGGAGTTATACAAAACTCAAAATGAAAGTGAGAAAAATTGTTTCCCTACATTTTCAACAGAAACGAAAAAAAAAAAACTGAAATTCATCCAGTTCCCCTAGCTGTGATAAATGTAGATTTATGTGTGTGTATGTATATGTGAAATTTCTTCCAGCTGGAAATTTATTTCAACATGTAACTGTAGGTAGCCATTGAAGGGTTTATGTTGTGAGAGTTAATGTATGCTGACGTGAATGCAAAAAAGTAAACCTATTGAATCTTGTACCTTTGAGTAAAGAAGGAACATTTGGTTCTGTCAAATATATCAGGTCCTCTGGCAAAACTTCAGGAATTCCACCGACTCTTGTAGAGACAACTTTCAGTCTGTAACAAAAAAGAAAGAGAAATTTAAGAAACAATTTTATTCTCACCACGCAAACCAAAAAAAAAAAATATCTGATGTTGGTTGTACCCAGGTCACAAATATCACTTTTTTGTATGATTTTAATCATCTTATGAATTGCTAATGGTGAAGAAAGTAAAATAAAGAATGCATTTCAACAAATGTGGCTCCTTTTTATATAAACTAGAACTACAATTCCATCACCTTGTATGCCAAAACGTGTTTAAAAGTTTAAATACACACCTACCCACAAGAAGCAGCTTCGACAATGGCCATACAGTATGCCTCAGTTAATGAAGTATTCAAAAAGATGTCCCCTTTAACCAAAACATTCCTCACTTGTGAATGTTCTAGGCTTCCCAATAATGTCACCCGATCTTGAAGACCTCTTCTTTCACGAATTTCTTCAAGTAACCTAGGAAAGCAAAACATACATATTTAAAAAAATACCAAGAAAACAAACTCATTTCTCATAGGAAAGTGTCCCTATTTCTGTGTGAGTCAATTGTAGTATTTTCTCACTCGAATATTACACTCATAAGGACAGACTACCTTGCCCATTTTCAAATCATTTATACAATCTTCCAGACCTAAAAAAAGGCTTTAGTTTTATGAAAACCACAATTTAAATCATTTAAGAGAATGGGTGCATGTTGCCAGTTTTGTGAAATCCATGCAAGTTTACTTTCTTGTGACATTGAAGTGAGTCGAAAGGAACCAAAGCAATCAGAATACTTGCAACTCATATTAAAAAACGTGTGCATCTCGGGACGCCCGACAGAAGTGATAGCTTAAACTAATATAAGTTGAACTATTAAATATTGAAATTGTCGAACTTGAGAAAAGTTTAGGTTATTATTTAAATTTTCTATGCAGGGTCCTGCAACAGTGGCGCGGTGTTCCATATCTCTATTTAGGAAACAGATAGGAATCCAAATTTCTATAATATTACCTTATTACTCGAGCTCGACAAAATAAAATTATTGGTGGTCACACAGGGTGTTCAATTTTTTCTGGGCGGATCCCAACTGTGTTTTTTT